TTCAATGAGGAGGTAGCACTTGAGTCTTGAATTCGCATCAAGATTCTGCAGAGATGAAGAGGAACTGCATTCCCGCAGGGAGGGACAGCCTATGTAAATGTCAATGCACAGAGGCATGAGACGGCATAATGAGTCTGGGAAATGGCTCCTGGTCGTGTTTGGCTGGAATACAGCTTGCGTGAAGAGGAATAATGAGAAAGAAAGCTTAAAGATTGGAGCCAGACTGTAGAAAGCCTTAATGTTAGGCTGATGGTTTTTTCTTTTATTGGGGGCGGGGAACAGGGAGTCATTGAAGGTTTTTGAGAAGGGAGTGACATGGTCAGACTTAAGTCTTAGTAATATTATTTTGGCAGCTATGCAAGGGATGGTTTGGTGAGGGGAAGAGATTAGAAGTAGGGAGGATCAATTAGGAGATTATTACCCACAGTAATATGTCTTCTATATGTCCCAGGTGACAGGTGATGGGTGCATGGATCGGGATGGAAGACAATGAGGTCTGTTTTGGATTATATTAGTTGGAGATAGTCCTGCTCAAATGCTTTCTCCTCCATGAAGCCTTCCTTGACCTCCCCTGGATCAAACTGCTATCTCCCTCTTCTGAAAAAAAACTGTAGCACTTGATTTATACCTCTCATTTCGCTTTTGCATTCAACCTTCTATGTTGTATACTCAACCATATGACTCATCAGAATATCTCATTCTACTGTCAGCTCATTGACTGTCAACTCATTGAGAACAGGGATCTCGTCTTATTATTCTTTGTAGATCGCTTAATACCAAAACAGGCTGAATAAATGAATGAATTGAACAGAAAAATGCTGCCTTGAAATACTGAATCCACATTTTTTTCAAATCCCCAAGCCCCAAAGGGAGACAGAGAATCACAGCCCTGCCACTTACTATCTGATGTGATACTGGGTGAGTCCTTTCTCTCTGGGTCCCAGTTTCCTAATCTGCAAAATGAGGAGATTGCACTAGATGACCTAGCTGACCTACCATTCCTTTTTGCTTTTACTCCTGTGACCTATAGTCGAGGACTAGAGGTTGTCAATGTCTTTTTAGCAGGTCACACCCTCACTCAAGAAACTTCAGGTGATCGCTACACTGCTATTGTAATAAATTTCACCTCCTCAACGCTTGGCATTCAAGGTCTTCTCATCAACTGGTTTTGTTTTATTTTGTTTTTTACCACATACATTTTTCTAATCTAATCCTCTTATTTGGCCCCAATCTGAACCTTTTGGTATAGCCAAACCAATCTGTTGCTTGTTCTAGGCACATTTTGCTTTCCCACAATTCCATGCTTTTGCTTATGCTGTCCTTCTTCCCTGGGATGCCCTTTCACTTTCCCATCGATTCATACCCACTATTCCTCTGGGTCCAGCACGCGGCCTGTCTCCTCCAAGAGGACTTCCTTGACTAGCCCCACTTAGCCAGCGGTAATTCTTCCCCATCTCTGCTTCTGCATCACTTTGGTGTTCTGTAGTTTACTCTACACTGTCTTGTACCGATGTTTATACATGAAAGTGTTTGCTCAGCTTTAGCTCCTTGATATGACACGCAATGTGTATGAAATTCCAACATACCTGGAGGATTCTGAATTAGCTTTTGTTTCCTAAAATCCCACACACTTGAACAAGCAAGTAATTAAACCACAAGCAGAAACACAATTCATATATTTGCTAATTGTCTTTCACTACTGTGAGCATTAATAGTCTTTTGCTAGGATGCCAGGATAGGTGTTTTTCAAATATTTGCAGAGGAGGCTTTGGAATAGATGAAAGTGGAAAGAGCCCCAAACTTCAAGTCGTGGCTCCACCGCTTTATTAGCTCTGCGGCCTCAGTCACAATTTTCCAAGGCCTCATCTCTAAAATAGGGATAACAGTACTTGCACCACCTACCTCACAGGGTTGTGACAATCAAATAGGAGAACATATGTAAGGCACATTGTAAACACCAGCTATTTATTATTTTATCTTTCTTAACGACAAAAACAACATTAATAATAGCTTAGGTTGAATTACTCATCTGCCCAACATATCCCTGAATTTTTTTACACAAAAGTTTTTCTAAAACATGGCTTTAGGATCAACTGAATTTACATTCCAAATTTTCATATCATATCGGTCAGCTTACCTTGGCTTTTTTCTCGTCGCTTCCAGCTGCACTGCTTTTACGAGCTGAGGAAATATAAAATAAGATTGAATGTGAGGCCCATGCCCAAGACTGTACAGTCTGTGTCCTCGGGCCCATAAAAGAGACACCCAGTTAAGTCTCATTCTGCCTGGGTCAGCGGCGCATGCTTTATTCAGGTGGCGCTAGACAGCGTTTGTAAGAAACTTAATGGATTTGTTAGGTTTCATACTTCAGCAGCAATGGGGGTATAACCACTCTGGGACAACACAGGGCAAGGAAGAGGTTGGCCAAGTGTCAGGAACATGCAGGAGTTGGATTGTTATCACTGGCATGGTCTTTAGGCACCTAATGGAACAGTTCATATGGGACTGAATAGCATCTAACGTACTTTTAACAGTTAAGTGAAGGCATATTATGTGGGCCTAGAAAAATCAACATAGGGGACAAAGAAACTTTAGTTCTGAAAGGTTATTCACCCAAGGTCCCCCCAAATAGATCACTTCCATGTACTCTCTTTCTCTTTCTCCTTTAACCCTCCTCCCACCACAAATCAAAAAGTCTATCTAGTACCATTCTTGACTAGAATGCAAGCTCCTTGAGGGTAAGGATTGTTTCATTTTTGATATGTAACCCCAGCCTCCTGGGCTGCCTACTTAGAGAGCACTGCTATGAAGGTAATAATAATTATAGCTAACAGTTATAGAGGACTTACTATGTGCCAGGCCCTGTGCTAAGGACTTTACAATTATTACCTTACTTGATCCTCACAACAACCCTGGAAGGTAGGTGCTATTATTATTCCTGTTTTACAGATGAGGAAACTGAGGCAAACAGAGGTTAAGTGACTTGCCCAGGGTCACACAGCTAGAGAAAGTTTGAGAGGGGATCTGAATTCTGGTTTTCCTGACTCTAGGCATAGTGCTTTATCCAATTCATCCCCTAACTAGAGAGTAGATTATCACACCAGAGTTCACCAGTTTGGTGACATGTTTTTGATCTTGGCTTTGAGGATTTCAAGGAAGAGGGAATCCAGGCATTTGTACTCCATCTTGAAGGCCACGTAAAGGAGTATGTCCAATGGACAAGAATGAACTGTGCCCGATTTCTAGATGCCAGCTCTCCTGTCCTCTTTTTCTTGTAAAGCATGTATAATGGGGGTATGCCCCATGTGTAGTAAGTAAAGGGACGCCCCACATGTAGGAGCTGGAATGCAACTCCACCTGTAACAGATAATATCTCTGTGGACATAATGTAGGATGTGTGAGTGTGAGGAAACTCTAGTACTCACATCTAATGAATGGATGGTGAAAAGATAAAATGAAGACCATGTATAAAATGCAGTTAGTTTAGTGTGAGAATCAGAAAGACCAATCAGATTCTGTCTTTGAACACTGACTCCGCATGTATTCTACATTTTGTTGTTTTTCTGTTATTCATCCATGGGAAACTAGATTATATAAGTCATCTGTTGTTTCATACATGCAGGTGGATGTAATTAATCAACATCTTTTCATTTTATGAACAGAGGACCCTGAAACCTACTTGTCCCCTTCCCAACTTGGAAAGCCCTTGGACTTTCCTCTAATTAGAAATTAGATCACCTAATTTTGTATCCTGGTTAATTGTTTTTGTTATAATTGGGCTTTTTGGGCTTATTTGTTTTTTGGGTAGAAAAATCTACTTTACTCTATATTTGGGGTCTCTAGACCAACTAGGGAATATACTGACCCATTTTTTTGAATGCCTAGTTAATAAGTCATCTATGCTCAGATTATTTCATTAGTTATTAATTACGCATTACAATGGGTACCTCACCAATACTAGAATGGTTGCATAGAGTATAGCACTTCATGGGAGGTTGGTCCTTTCTGGGTTCAATTTGTGTTTATCTCAAAAAATTATTTCATAGAGGTTGAGGGGAATATGAAGATCTTGCATTTATCTAAGCTTATGACCACTGCATGGCTCTCTTGCTAGTGGGATTTTGATATGGGATGTTCTTCCTCTTGTGACGAAGAAGGAATGTGTCTCCGATCTCTCAAAAAGGATAAAAATATTTTCCCAAATCTTTATTCACTGACATCATTAATCATATCAGAAAAGGATCTAGTGGCCCACTTGATTTTTGTTTGTCTATAATTGGGCAAAGGACATATATGATCATGTGAAGCAGGGAGGGACATAATCAGAAAGTAAATAATGTAAATAAATACTGTGGCAATTGTGGGGGAGAGCAGATCTCTCTCTGTCTTTACTTCTGTCTCTTCCTCCCTTAACTCAACAGGGAGTGAGCTGGGGCTGGGAGCAAGCATCCTATGAGTCCGAAGTGCCACTGTCCTGTGACCACATCCCTCCAGAGTCTTGGAGAAGGGGGCAGGTAAGCTGGAATCAGATGAAGCTTGAGCCTTCCTCTTGCACATCCTCTCATATGGCCAAGATGGCAGACAAACTCTTGGCTTCCTTTTCCCAGAAGCCTCTAAAGCCAAGTTCAAAAACATGTCACCAAACTGGTGATTTTGGGGCACAGCCTATTTTTCACTTTTGGAGTCTGGCATTTCCATGGCATGGATTCCTGACATGCTAGGGTCACACAGTATTCTCTAGTGCCAAGTACAGTCCATGGTACGCATTATCATGACTATAGCCAAATTAAGGGTTGAACAGGAACCAAAAGGCATAGGAATGGCTCCTGTCCCCTCCAATTTTCTCTTTTCAGAAGGCAAATCAAGAAAAATAAAAGCAATGAACCATCTACAGGATTCAGGAAGACATGAGTTCAAACCCTGTCTCATTCACTCACTAGCTGGGTAAGTGACCCTGGGTAAGTCACTTAACTTCTACCTGGCTTCAGTTTCCTCATCTATAAAATGGGGATAATAATAGCACCTGCTTCCCAGGGCAATTGAGAAGATCTGTAGAGTATGTTGCAAACTTTAAAGTGTTCCTTGAGTTATTTTTATTTTCATTATTGTTATTGCTAATTCCCCCAGAACTAAAAGGAAACTCAAATACCATCTCTCCCTTTATTCAACCCTTCTTCAAGTCTTGAATGAAATGTTTTAATTAACTAGATTTTATATGAAAATAGTATTTTGATTCTTGTCTTCTTACGTACTTTGCCCCCTCTAAACCCAGTCAATCCTGCTGGCTGATTGTCATATGTGGAGGTGAAAGTTAGAGGCTCCTAAATAATCGGATGTGCGTGGTAGCTCTGAGATTTCCCACTTTCTGGAATTCAAGGCCCTCCATAATTTGTATCTCATCTTCTTCCGGGAAGTCCACTGACCCATTCTTTTGAATGCCTAGTTAATAAATCATTCATGCTCTGATTGTTTCATTAGTTATTAATTGCCCATTACAATGGGTACCTCACTTATACTACAACGGTTGCAAAGTCACTTCTCCAGCCTCAGCGTCACCAAAATACTCTATAATTTCCCACTTCCATGCCTTCTCTTGTGTGGCTCTTTTCTTGCAAAGCCCCTCTTCTTCTTCTTCAAGCTCCTCACTCAGGTCTGCCTGTCAAATCCCCATACTTATCCTTTAAGGCCTAGCTTAGGTAGGCCACCTGTACTCCCTGAAGCCTTCCTTAATTCCTTCTGCCCCCTACTTGAAGTAACCTCTATTTCCTCTGAACATCCTTACACATCTCTGTTAGGTCTTTTCTTGTGTGGCCCCATCCTAGCTTCTGGGTAATTTCTGCCCCTTGTCTTATCCCTTGCTAGGTTCTTTGAGGGCAGGGAATATGTCTTTCTGTATCTTTGCCCTCCTGAAAGCACCGACCACATTGCTTTGCACACAATGGATGCTCCCTAAAGGCTTACTGAATTACACCAATGCTGAAGATGATGGCTGTTTAGGAATTCCATGTGTTCCCTTCTCTGAGTCCTCCTGACTTTGCTCTGTCCTTTCAGGAGCACCAACATTCCACTTTTGTGCCATCCTTCACTTGCAGACACTAATACTGTACTGCTGAATGTGAAGACTGCCGTCTTTGTTTTCTTGTGTGTACTGCTGCATGGTATCCAGGATAGGGCCTTGCACACACCTTAACGACATGCTTGGATGAATGAATGACTGGCTATGTAAGATCCTATCAAACTTTGGGGCAGCCCCAACCTAAGCAGAGAGAGGGTCCTCAAGAATAGGAGAAACCTGAATCCTCTGGAAGGCTTCCTCCCTGCCATAAAACAATGTTTTGGGCTGATGTCCCAACTTTAATACGCCTACCAGCTATCTTGATGTTTCTGCCCAACTGACTACACAAGTCCCATGGAACAATCTCTGTTTGGTGATTGACATATTTTTTTCATTAACAAAAGCAATTAACATATAAGTAGTATTAACCTCCCCCCTCCCCATGTCAATGTCTCTTTTGTTGAATACAGTCCACCAGTCACTGACCATCAACCTCCCAAGAGTTAGTGGAGCGGCCAGAACAAAAGAACCGTAAGAACAAAAAAGGGAAATAAGCGTTAACTGTTAAGTGGTGGTGCACATGCAGAATGCCAGGCAAGCATGAGAGAGGAGCAGGGGGTGTGTGGAGACCCTGGGAGGGTGAAAGCAGCAGCGCCATCTGTCTGCTCACAGTGGACGTCCCTGGAAGTCTCTCAAGCGACAGGTTTCAAAGGAAGGGCTGAAAAGCTCACTGGTACGGTGTCAGCAGCCTTGCTGTGGTACAAGGCACTAGGAAATGCACAAGCTTAGGACGGTGGAGCAAGGAACACACCTTTTAACTGAGGAACTCGACTGACTGGCTTCCCGGACGGGGAACGTACGGGTTGCTTTTCTGGTGTTTTTGCATCCTCTTCCACTGAGGCACGTGGGCTCCCAGGCTCCCCACTTAATGTATCTTCAGGGCCCAATTCTGAAAATTCTTGTTCCTTTGGAATATCAGCTTTGATATCCACTTGTGACATGCCCTCGGAAGATTCTAAACTAGACAGTCCATCACCGCCTTCAGATACTACCTGGCCTACAGCAGGCAGGTCCCTTTCAATCACTGGCATCTCTGGGGGAATTTTGGAGAGAAAATCATCTGGCAGAGGAATTTTGATATGATGTTCCACTGGTAAATGCGGGATTGCAATAGTTTCCTTAGAAGCCATTGAAGGAAAAAATACTTTTTGAGGTTGCAAGCTCTCTGGTGTTGGAGAAAGCTGAGAAGGGAGAAGTGAATCTTGGGGTAAGGATTCATCGATGTCACGATCTTCATCATCCTCCCTTACCATGGTCCTTTCTTTCACAGGCAGTACCAATGGGTAATCCCCAGGGCTTCTGGATTGAACAGACCCTGCTGACATATCTGAGACTTGCTCTCCAGGCACATTAATGGCATCTTGGCCAGTGGCCTCAGTACCATAGTGTCCTGGTTCACTAAGAAAGCTTTCATGGACCTCATGGCCTTCAACCCCCACTCTGAAATTCTCAGAGTATCCTGATGGTTTTGGGCTTTCCACCACAGTGGGTGTGGGAGACGTCAAAGTCTGCTCAGCTCTGTCTCCATCTTTCTCCTTGAAAGCTGGGCACATCTCCTTAACATCTTCCTCCAGGCTAGGTGCCTCTGAGTAAAACGAAATGTCCTGAGGGGCAAGCGGGACAGTCAACCCTGGCTCTTCAGGTTCTTTTTTCCTCAAAGGCATCTGTGATTTCTGAAAAGTTTCTTCCACGCTTACCTGATGCATTTGAGACTGAATCTCATTGGCTGAGAAATCCAGGGTCTCTGACTTTTCCCTCTGACACTCTGCTGAGACTCTGAACTCCTCTGCATTTGGAGAGGCAGTGATGGCAAAATGTTAGCATGGGCATGCTGATGGTAAAAGAGAAGAAACTCACTTCTGTGCACCACTATCTGCTATAGCCATGGTGACTATGGGAGCTAACATGAGCAGTATGAATGCTGCTTCCATAAAATATGAGGACCTAGCAACTTGCTTATAGTACAGCATGGTAGCAAAGCCATGGTCATTTTTTTTAACCTCTGGGCAGACCTAAACTGCTTGCCTTACTATGACATAAGTCACTTGAGTCAGGACAGCTTGTATGAGATCCTTTTTGAATATAGGTCCATAGGATAAGGTTTACCCACTGGCCTAGAAACCCTATGGAATAATCAATATGTTATATGATGTGTATACTGATGTTCCAGGAGGCAAGGACCAAACTGGGCATGTGTTTGATCCAACGTCCAGGACACTGTGAGATGCTTAATATATACCAAATACTACCATCACCAGGATGAAGCAGAGGGTCAAGGACAGCTGATTTGGGCTCAGTTACTCATGCCAATTTCTTGCCCTGTTGTCCCCACCAGCTGTGGAGACTTGGTCCTAGTAAAGAGTCTCAGTGCCCAGTGAGAAGAGGAAATGTGCAAGTGTCTCCTATCTATATATCTAAACATCTCTCTCTCTCTCTCTCTCTCGATCTAAGCACAAGCAGGACATGTGCAAGTGCTTCCTATCTAATTCAGCCAAGGCATCACAACCCTAGACTGTAACACCCTTTTCCAGTTTTTACTTTATGAGTGTGAATGGCTAAAAGTTGAACCAAGGCTGTCTATAGCAGGAAACGACAAAGAAGTTTACAAATTGTGCTTTTTTGTACATTTCTAATTCAATTGCTAAGGGCTGAGGAACCCTTAGTAAATAAAGGCTGTTTGCAGATCACAAGTATGCTTCAATTGAACAAGCCTTACACTCAAGGCTCATCAAATAAGGCAAAAGATTTTATTTATAAACAAATCACACATCTTGGAAATTGAAGTTTAAAGGGGAGGAAGGTGATTAGGGATTCCCTAATCAGTTCGGGAACTCCTCAGTCAATTTGATAAGAGTATAGGGTATGAACTGGTTTGTAGGCACCTGAAGGGCACCTCACCAAGGGCAGTGCGGATAAACCCATGGCCACAGAGAATTCCTGGTGGGTTTTTCAATAACTGGAGCTGCTTCCAAGGCAAGGACTCAAGAGGATGGACTCTTGAGACAAAAGTGAGTATGAAGACCAGCTCAGTCCTTTCCTGAACTTCATTTCCCTTTTCTCCTAGTCAGAAGACAGGCCAAGGTATTGCATAGATCTGTGTTCTGAATGGCAGAAACCTGTATAGTCACATTCTCCTTCCCATAGAAATTAGAAACGACAGCCTTAGGGCAGAGACATGTGAAAACTGGCTGCTTACGCTTACCGGCAGCAAAAGGGAAGAGAGTCTGAAAGTGGACATTCTGAGACTAAAAGATGACAGAAACCAGAGCTCTAATATAGTTCCTATAAAAGCCCACTCAACCTGAAAAGGTAGTTGACCGATAATATTCGTGAACTTTAAACTCCCCTGAGGGAGGCAGGGTTTGAATGATCTAGGCAGCAGACTACCAAAATCTGGCACTCTAGCAAAAGGAGAGCTTTGCAGGTTGTCATGTGGGGAACCTCAAGTTTGAGAGGTCGAAGATCAGGCCTTTTACAGAGAGAAGAGGATCTGATGATATAGCATGTACTCTGGAAAAAGATGAGGATCGCCTGTTTCTGAACAGTCTTGCTTGGAGAGTAAAGTCAACAAATGGTTTGGAATATGTAGATCCTATGGGGAGGGGATTGCTTGTTTGGCATCCCCAATGTATGTTTATTCTCTAGGGGAACCCAGATTCTTTAATATACTAGTGTATCCTCAGCATCCCACAGGAAGATGGCATAGTCACTCTCAGACTTAGAGTGTCATTCTGTGGGTGTGAATTTCCCTACTGGCTCTAGATTGAGAGAACTTAGATTCAAACCTGCTACCTAATATGGCCCGTGTGAACATGAGTAAGTCCCTGTGCCTCAGTTTCTTCATCTGTAAAATGAGGAGGCTGACCTCTGAGGTGCCTTCCAGCTTGAGACCTATGACCCTATAGGGACCTGGGCATAGCGGGCATTTTATTAAACAACAAACATTTGCTGAATAAACAAACTGTTGCTTTCTGAAGTACAAGACTGGCTTCCTTCCAGTCCTGTTGCAATCTAGAAGCTTCCCCAGTTGGCTGTTAAGAGTCTGAGCTCAGTCATTCTAGGAAATACTTAAGAAATGAATGTGAGGAACACAGAGAAGAATGAGAAGACACACAGAAACTGATGAAAAGTGAAAAGTAAAAGCAGAACCAGCACAATAGTCCATATCTGGACCAGATGACCTGACACCCTGACAAATGGATTCTACAGTTCTAAATTGGGTTACTGAAACCTTTCTGATGCTTGATTATATGATGTGATTTTTCTCAAACACCAGGGGTGTGGTTTTTTTGTATTGTTTTAATTATTTACATACTCAACTGAATTTCTATGGACTTTACCTTTTTCAGTTATAGAGGAACACAACATATTACAAAAAAAATCTGGAGGAGATCTGAGATGAGTCTTCCCCGAGTAACAAACTAATTGACTTTATACAGTACCACTTATACTGCCCCATACAGATGATTCATCTTTTTTTTTTTTAGGGAGTTCCCCATCCCCCTTCCCCCAAAGCTACAGAAATACAGCAGCTGCCTTCTGACAACATAGTGACTACCTAGATAGAGCATTAAAAACAGTAATAATTATTTTAAAAAGCTACTCTCCAAATTGAAGTGTGAGAGGCTCCTTAAGAAGTCAAGAGCCAGCCTTAAGAATTCAAGATGACAATCAACCTCAAAAGACATGTCTGTCACATCCTTGCTCTGCCTGGTCTCAAATAATGATTTACTCTCCTGTCTTCCCCATCTTCCCATCCTGTCTCCTTGCAGGGCACAGTCTACTGACCTTGGGAAACATCTCCTGCTGCTTGGTCCTCCAAGTTAGGTGTGTCTCCAATACCTGCTTCTTCAGCTAGTCAACACATAAACAGAGAAAATAAAAATAGTGAGTCAGTACATGTAAGCAACAACTGTTTACTATCTAGTTCCAACTGGTATTTTTTGCAGGGAAGTCGGAGATAAACGCCCACCGGGTTAGCATTTAGTGCCACCCCTCTGGCTTCCTTGGAATAGGATAATTTGGTTCCTTCTTGCGTTTCTATTCCAAGTATCTAGCACTATGCCTCATATGTAGTGGGCACTTAACAAACAACAAAATGTTTATTGAATTAAACTTAATTTAGCAATAGAGGAAAGTACAGCTTAAAATAATAAAAACTTCAAACTAGTCTCTTTCTAAAAATACATTTTTTATTATCTTTTATTTTTATACCACTCACATTTCTCAATATGCCCCTCCTCCTCCTCTCAGAAAGCCATCCCTTATAATAAAGAATAAAAAGAAGGGGAAACAGTTCAACAGGATGAATCGACACAATGAAAAAGTCTGACATTATAAACAGGACACCCATAGTTTCTTGGTGTGTGTGTGTGGGTGGGTGTGTGGTGCAGGAGGGGAAGTGTCTTCACATAGCTCTTCTCTGGGGCCAAGCTCTGTCACTATAACTTAACAGGGTTCAGTTCTGTTTTGGTGGTGGTGTTACTTCCACTTCCACTGCTGGGGTCACTGTTGTTCTTGTTCTGCTTACTTTTCACTTTTCATCAGTATCTGTGAGTTTTCTGATTCTTCTCTGAATTCTTCACATTCATTATTCCTTATGGTAGAGTCATATTCCCTCATATTCATGTACCACCATCTGCTTACTCATTCCCTGATCCCTGGGCATTTCCAATTCTTTGCTAAGACAAAAAGTATGGCTATAAACATCGTAGGGTATATGAGGCTTTTCTTTTCGCCACGGGCCCTTCTTGGGGTACAAGCCTCCCCGTGATCAAACCGTATGGACATTTCAGTCACTTTTTACCATAGTTCCAAATTTCTTTCCAGAAAGGTTGGACCAGTTCATACTGCATCATTCACCAGTGCAACAGTGTCAACAAGTATTTATTATTAAGTATTTATCATGTGGCTGGTACTATGACATAAGGACAAAAGTGAAAGTCTCTGCCCTTAAAGAGTGGACATTCCAATGGGGGAGAAACATGTATACCAAAGAGTGGACATTCCAATGGGGGAGAAACATGTATATATACCTAGGAGTATATACAGATTATTTGCAAAATGAATACAAGTAATTTTTGGAGGGGGTACCCTAGCAGCTTGGGCAAGGGGGGAAGTGGTGGGGAAGAGGACCAAGAAAGGCTTCACGAAAAAGATAGAAACTGAACTGAGTCTTGAAGGAAACCAAGGATTCCAAGAGGTGAGGAAGGGAAGGAATGTATTAAAGGCAAGGAAATATGAAATGGAGGGGGCAGCTCGTTAGGGCGGGTGCAGTGGATAGAGCGCCAGGCTTAAAGTCAAGAAGACCTGAGTTCAAATTCAACCTCAGACACTTAGCAGCTGTGTGATGCTGGACAAGTCACTTTACCCTGTTTGCCTCATT